AAAAAAAAAAAAAAAAAGAGAAGAGTAAGGAAGGAAGAGATTTCAGTTTGCAATTTTTAGTTGTTGTATTGTTAGCTGTAGTATGATCTCAAGTCAGAGTTGTGGTGAGGATGAGGATTCAATGCGGATATGCTATGACAAACAGAAGTCACAGCAACCATTGGCCTATCTTCTGCATAGTTTAGTGTATGTAATGAAAGAAGAGGTTGACCGCAGAAGGTGGACTCTGTCTAACCCTCTAAATTATCAAGTCTTGATATATCTGGTTCCATATGGCTCTATGGCAATTGCTGAATCTGACTCTGGAGACATGGTTGAGTCACAAACATTAGCCTAACCTTAAAAATTCTTGCTGCTTTTGCAGTCACACCAACTAAAAGGGCCCAGTCTCAAAACTAGAACCCCATATAAGGGTAGGGATTGCTAATTCTATTATGTATTTACATTAGTAATGGTACATATGTTGGTTTTCCATTTTCTGTCACATGCTTTACCAATTTTGTTGCACTGTAGCTGCAAGCTAGTTCTTGATTAAGCATTTAGTAGTGTCTCTAATAAATTGTGTTGCTCTGTTTTATATTTTTACTGGTAATTACTTTGTTTAAAACAGAACTCAGTTTCCACCTAATATCACGATTTGAAATCATCTCTTATATCTACACACGCAACTTGTGTGAACCTAGGAAAGTGTGCAGCAGAAGAGAGGAAATATCAACACCTTGTTGGACGATCGGACTTATTTTGCTCCCTACTTGATACAATATCTGTTCCTTCTTTCTGGCAGTTTACTAATTTTTACCTTTTTGATTTATCTCTGTTTCAATTCCAACTCCTTGGGTTGCTTTCTTGATCTACCTTCATTGTTTCTTTTATTTGACAGTGTGGAGTAAGAAAAGATTCTTAAGTCCTGCATAATATTTGTTAAAGAAAAAATAAAAATAGAAGAGAGAGTTCCGGAAACAAGGTTTCCCTGTCATGTTAAAAATACATGGTCTGTGCATGCCCTGACAGTGGTAGAAGTAGCATTCTGTTTTTCTTTTTACTTTTCCCCTTTCCTGTGTGTATGTATTTGTGGCTTGATCTTTTAAGTGGATCAATTAAATCATGTCCTTTGAGGGTTGTGTTCGACTTATGGACATTTTACTTCATTGGTTGGATGATTCTCATGGCTCATCAAGCATGAACTGGGCTATTTCTCTAAATATCTATTTTTTTCTTTGGTTTACACAAAGTTAACTTTAGAGTAGATACAATGTGGTTATGTTGGAGATAATTTAGAAGTAATCTGGTATTGTAACCAAGTTGGTTAGTGTTCTCCTATATAGAAATATTCAATGGCATGAAAAGTGATAATGCTTTAATCCGTGATTAAAGAAAACAGAACTTTCAAACTTCTGGAAATAAATTACGTCCCTGTTTTCAACCCAAACCATGTCAGCTTTGGTTTATTCGCTTACCTGAAGTCTTTTCCCTGATAAATGAATGGGTTGTGCAGTTTATCACGATGGTACACTGTGCATGGATATCATTCAGGATGCGTGGTCACCCTGCCACAATGTGTCTACAATTTTGACATCCATTCAGGTACGATTCTAATCACAGTCCTCTTCCAGTCCTCCTGCAATTGGGAGGTGGTTGTTATTCTTCCCTAATCTCGAGTTCTATTACATTAAAACAACTATTAATGAACAATCACTGCAGTCGCTTCTCACTGACCCAAATCCAGCAAGTCCTGCAAATCCAGAGGCTGCTCAGCTGTTTCAGCATGACGTCCAAGCTTATAACAAGTTTGTAACCAACAATACCTTCTCTTTTCATCCTCCTTTTTTATTTCCATTTTGTTGTTTCCTAAAGTAAGCTTCGATGTGGGAACTTTCAGGAAGGTGCGCCAATGTGCTCGCAGATCCATTGAATCATTATAAAATCTGTTGGAGACTCATCTCTTAATCCCTGTTTCATCCTTCCATTTCCTTTCTGGGGAATTGTTATGCTGCCAAATTTCATGCCAATCATTTGGTGCAAATCCTACTTTCTGTGTATTTTTGTTCGCCAATCTTGATTTCCACCATAGTCTCAAGTCTTGTGAATACTACTGAAATATCTCTGGAGTTCAGAAGTGATAACAAAGAACAACTATAAATTGGGGTTCAATTGGGAATCACATTCTTTAGACCTTTATGAATTGATTGATTTTGATGGATGTAGACTATTACTTGACCTGTTATAAGATTGTGAATCTGAATTGGATTTTTTTCCTCAACATAAGAATCTGCATTACATTACCGTCAAGAAATATTACTAGCATTAACAATCACTAAATAGAAATGGAACAATAACCAGAAGCGATTATCAGTAACTGTAGAGCCCCAAATTTATTTATAAGGCCACAGCAACCGATTTTTGAAATTTCCTGCTTAACAAGATCAACTGATATTGGCATTGCTCTAAACATTGTCCAGGCTTCGCCTAGTGCAGTTAAGATGAGTAGAGAAGGGTCTCGTTTTGAGATGTCTTTACTGGATTGACATATATTATTATATCTTAATGCTGAAAAAAGGAAAAGGTTAAACATAGGGCAAAAAGTGATAGAGATATACAATTAAAGGTGGGAAATAGATATATTGATGCGGATAATTGCTGGCATCAAATTGTTGCTAAAACTCCTGTTCAATCTTTTATTGTGTGGTTATTATAGGCTATAGAAGTTGAAGATGAGTATACTCCTAAAGGCTAATTGACTTCAATAGTTTAGTTACAATTTTTTCTTCAAGTAAAACAAGATATTTTAATTTTAAATTATAGACATGTAAGTAGAGTAAATAAAAGAGATTCAATATTATCATTTTATATTACGTAATTTAATATCAAAAAAGGAAAGAGTATGCTCGTAGATATGCTGATGGTATAACTGAAGGGATGTGAATGTTGGACTTTAAATATCTCATCATGTAAACTTGTAAAGAGTTAACAATATTACATACCATTAGGTAGGGTTTCAAACTGTTTCACCCAACCAATAATTTCAGAAAAAAAAAGAGGGGGGGGGGGGGGGGTTTCTGGTCATGTGTGCAATGGAATCGAGGATGATCTCTCTTTTGGGCTGTCTCTGTAGGACACAGGGAGACTGCATGTGCATGGTTGCACGTGTGGATGGTTAATTCATTATTAAATGAGTTTTAGGTCTTACAGCTAATGACATTGCCCACTCAATCAGAGCAACCAAGCAAGACGCAAAAAGCCACCGCACTCAGTGGACGGCATATCAGGGTGTGGGGGTTTGAGTTAGACCCCTACCGGTTGCCTTTTATTAAATCCCTTCCCCCATCCCCATCCCCATCCCCATCCCCACAATTATGAAAATGTGCACTTAACTGCTTAAATTATGAAAATCTGCATTTGACCCTTGTCACTGAGAACCACAAGTCTATTAAATACATTATAAGTAAAGGTGAATTTTGGTAAAATATATTTTTTTTGTATTAACCTCTCGATATTCGAAAGTCATATTGAAATCTAAATAATTCAAAATTGAGAAGTATTAGACCCTATAAGGGAGAAGTTCTTTTAAGGCAAAATACTCAAATCCACCTCTAAAATATAGTAGTAGGGATGGATCCACTTTCGAATAAAAAATAGGAACAAATTCATTTACAAAGTTTTCGACTTGAACAAATCATCTCAAATTTAACGTGTGATGTCATCTGACATCAGCAATCCATTAATTTGTTATGTCACTAATGACAGACTGTTGATGTCAGATGACATTAAATTAGTGAATTGCTGATATCACATATTAAATTTGGGGTGATTTGTCCAAGTCAAAAATTTTATAGGTGGATTTGTCCCCTTTTTTTGTTCAGAGGTGAGTCCGTTCTTGTCATTATACTTTGGGAGTGGATTTGAGTATTCTACCTTCTTGCAATACATGTTTCTCTATTTACAAGATTCAAAGTTTCAAACTCAAGATGTTATTTAAAAAAAGCTAAGTTTTTTCTACTCAAACTAATAAATTATTGGTAAAATTTGATAAAATATTAGTAAAATAATTTGGAACTGAAGTACATATATATTTTCAAATCATAGGAGGTTTAATAACTCATTTCATAATTTCAAGATTAAATGCATATTTTTAATCGTCAAATGCACTTATTGTGAATTTGAAGATTAATTATATACACCCAAACAACATGTGAGTAGGTATATCTTGCTTGGGTAGGTAAAACATTTTCTCTCTCTCTCTATATATATATATGTATATAAAGAGTTGAAATACGAAAAAAAGTACACTTTGCACCTCTTTTTTTTTTTTTTTTTTTTTTTGAACTCCTCTTTCCACTTTCCTGATGCTGGAGTATCTGCTTTTTCTTTGGGGTATTGACTTATTGGCTTATGGCCTTTTAGTTTAGGTTGTGAGAGCTTTTATTTTTTGAGTATTATTATGAGTGATAAGTTTAAATTTTTATTAAAAAGAAAATTTAAAAATTGTTTTAGAAATAGGAAAAAACGAGTGAAAAGTGAATAAAAAGAAAGTTTATAAAAAATTTAGATTTGAAAATTTTGAATTTTTACTGTTTAAAATTAAAAAAATTTTTAAAATGTAAATTTTTAAAAGTGAAATTTAAATTTATAAAACATGAATAGTATCAAAAAAACTAAAGTTTTTAAAAACTCACCCAAACATGTCCTTAATTTCAAAGAGGTTTGTACAGCACTTTTTCCATGCAGCACTGCATTTAAAAATATAAATTTATTATAAATAATTAATTTTAATTAATTATTTATTTATTTTAAATAATTTTATTTAATATTATATTTTTATTTAATAAAAAGGCCCAATTATAGCTCAACACTCCCAAACAAAACCATAAAAAGCTATAAGAAGATAGGAGCAGACACATGGTCGGCCATTTATTAGATAAAATTAAGATCATGAAATTAGGTCTAAACAAAATCAAAGGTGGTTATGATATGCACATCATGATAAATGGCAAACAAATTTAGAACGCACTAACCTCGCATGCATGTAATGTAACAAACGGCTGACATATCTATATCATCCATAAGCATGTGCCATGTGGGGTGCCTCTCTCCTCATGCATATTTCTATGTTTTTTAAATCTTAGAATGAGTTACTCCATTCGTTTAACTTTAATAAGTTTATTTTTTTAATAAATTAAAAATATAATAATTAATAGATAAAATTTTGTATTTATTCCTAAAAATCACTATTTAAATACACATTTATATTTAATATATATTGTAATTAATTTTTTAAAATAAGAGTAAAATAAAAATAAGTACATTAAATAATATCTTAATAAAAAATAGACAATTAAATTTAAGTATTCCATATTAAAAATTAGATTTGCTAAATTTAAATGGAGAGAGTATATAATAAAAGATAATCACAATTTTCTAAATCTTTTCACCCATTTCAAAATTTGAAATCAAGACTTTTAATATCAATAAGCTCATCTAAGAAATCCTAGCGCCTCCATCTTTCTTTTCCCCATTGTAGCTGCCTTCTTTTCTTCTCTTTTCCCTAGTCACCACCTAGTTTCTCTCTCTTTGAGGGTTCTCTCCCTTTTGTGGGAGTTTGTCCCCTTTTATTGAGTTTTTGTTTGGGCTCTCTTCGTGGTTTTCATTGGGTTTTGTCCTAGGTTAAAAAGGATAATAACATAGTGGCTACTCTCTAATTTGATTCAAGTGTGGCTTGGGTGATCCCTAAAGGAGACTCTAACTCTCCTCTAAGGTAGTATAGATCCTTATTCAACATTCAATAGATGGAGACTGTTATTTGCCAAATTACTTACTCTTTCTAAAACTTGACATGACAATTAAAAAAGTTTAACAGCTTTGAACACGCTTAAGAGCTTTCTTTTTACTTTTATGACATTATACATGTTATTATAGCGATTGCCAAAGCAATCTATAGGCATAGATGGCTCTCTACATGTAATTATCTTATTCATTATATGAGTATGGTTTTCATCTATATTTAGTGCTATAGATTATAGCTTCAGCTTTACTTTAGATCACCTGGGAACTACACATATTTATGTTTAAATACTATCAAGTCCCATGGAAAGGAATCTAGCCATAGTCTTGCCTTAAGGTTAACTAGATGAGGCTCATCCAAAAATTAAGATTCCAGTTCAATGATATGATACTTCAATCGCAGGAAAATTGTATAAATATAAAATTATAAGTGGTGTATATGTTTCAAATCGATGATATTACTAATAATTTCAGGCTTTCAGCTTAAAATTTTTCAAGTCCTACAATATTAATAGTGGTAGCAATGGCATGGTGTGACTTTTTGTTACATCTTAATTACAATGTATAATAAAACAAGGCATTTCTCTTCTCCTTAATGAAATTATTTTTTGCCAGTCTAAATACTTCAATTTTAAATTTTAAATTTTTAACCATTAAAATATCTTATTAGAGTAAACATGATGTTGTTAATTCTCTTCTTTGATTTAATTACTAGCTTCTTCTAGTATGTATGTACGTAGTCCTGTAAATGACAAAAAGCCGTGTTCATCATCACGCAATAAATTTCCAAATCAATTCGATAACTTAAAATACCTTAAATTGTGCAGCTGCACATGACTGACTGCAGCCATACATCACCAGAGTCACAGATTCAATGGTCCAATGCTACAGAAGTACAGACCATATATACATGGTTGAATTTGTTCATACACGAGTCCCTAGGTACCTAGCTGCATGCAACTTGCAAGTTTCCATCATCGGACCCACCTCAGCCACCCAGCCACTAATATAATAGCAGCATCCCTAGCTGTTTGCATCGATCTGTTAGCTAGTTAGAGCCGGGTTTAATCTACTCATATGATTGTCCGTCAGGAAAGCTTATTCATTTATTGATTTTTCAAATATAGAAGGTTAATTTCAGATTTTTAGTGGCATCCCAAGGGCCATAACTGTTATCAATGAGTGGAGATTTTTCAAATTCATTATTTGTAAACAGTATAATTTGTAAATACATATGAGATTAATTAACTTAAAAATTTAGATATTAAAATTATTAGCAATAAAAATTTTAATATTGACCTTCTCTATATATATTTGTGTGTGTGTCAAGTTATCAAAGAGAATTTAATAGCAAAATAAAATATATGACCAACAAAAAGTTGGTATTTACTGCTTTAAAAGTCTTAATTTGATTTTAAAAGGGAAATAATTTATAATAATTATTTTATTTTATTTTATTATACAATTTGATATGTTATTAAAATAATTAATTTTTTTAATTTATATAAGACTTGTAATATTAAATAAATTCACTCATTTAATGATATATAAAAATTATATAAAAAAAAATTATCCTTATAACACCACCGGTTTTAAAATTAGAAGCGGGTTTAAACCTTTAAAAGGCTAAGTAATTAATATCCAATGTAAAAAAAAAGGGGGAAAAAATGAATCTGGTGGAAAGATTTCCAAAACTCCATTTTATAACGAATAATTGTTTTGATGATATGGGAATAATCCAAAGACCTACTTTTATACACATAATTAGTCAAGTTAATATATACATGACTGTTCGCCTACCTCATTTCAGAGAGGTTAGTTCAGGTGTTAATGGAGTGATAACAGAAAAGGAAAAACATCGTGAAAACCTAATTAATTGCAATATATAGCAACATTGGTAGATCGATGTCTTAATTATTAATTGTTGTGTAGTCTAATCCCCCATACCCAATGACCGGCAAAACCAGAAATATGTTACACGTCTGCCCAGCCAGAATTCGCTACATGTCTCTCAAAATAATTGAGCTAGTCTTTAATTATTAGGGATATCAACTCAAAAGGTTATCAATGGATATATATTTTTTTATTTATAGTTAAGGTGCTTTTATATCAGTTTTTACATATTTTAAAATTAATTATTTTTTGAGAGATTTATGCCTTCATATTAACTTAATGTATTTAAAAAAATTAATTTTCTTAAGTGTTAGCTTTAAAATTTAAACTCAAAACTTACTTTATAAAACCATATTTATTTATTAATAAATTTAACCATCAAAATTAATGGACATGTTTTTTTTTGGTAAAAGTAAATTTGATTTTTGACAATGAAATAATGGGGTGTATTCTGATAGGTGGGCATATTAGGTTATTCTCACAACAAAACTTTATGGTAAGCCTTTAAATTTCTTTTAAATTTTCAATTAAGTTTTTAAATTTTTATTAAAGTAAATAAATCCTTAAATTTAATAATTTGGATAATTTAATCATTTCTTTTTACGGTGGACTTACTGTCCATTTATACCTTACTTGTATAAATAAAGTATTAACATATTATTATTTATATGCTAGGTATTAACTTTGTCCACACAAATAAGGCACCAAGAGCGTTTAATTCAGAGTAAGGAAAAGTGTTAAATTGTTCAAATTGTGAAGTTTAAGGGCATATTTACTTCAATAAAAATTTAAAAGCTTAATTAAAAATTTAAGATAAGTTGAGGGGCTTAACCTAAAATTTTGCCAATTCTCACATCATTTTGTGAGGAAGTGGTCAAAATGATAGTTCCAAATAGTCACACTATTACTAACCAGTTAAGTGAATTAATAATACAATCATCTCTCAGCTCACTAGATTTTTAATTTGAGTGAAATCACATAAAAAAAAAATTTTTTTGACAAGATTTTTCAATTTCTGTCCCTATGCTAATTTACTGACTTTTTAAATAGAGATGATCTACATCCACATCCTCAAAAGCTAAAATTTAAGTTACTAGTTATATTTGGCTCCCACACTTGTAAGTTGTAATCCAATCACAATTAAACTATATTTCCGATCTTATTCGAAACATATCTGAAGCTTGTAAAACCAGGAGGCATCTGGGTGTTTGATTCTAAGGATTCTTTCATTTGCAATTGCTGAATGAGGATGAATGATCCTTTTCGTTTAGTAGCTTTAAGTTTCCAATATATCACACATGTTATTCAATATTCATATGTACTGATCCAATGAAATGTCAATATTGTAAGAAAATATTGTGATAAAATGATAAATTTCAAGCCACATGTTCATAAATATCTGACAAATTTTAACCAGTCAATAAGTGAATGGTAGGCCAGATCAATCAAAATGTTTGTACCCAAATAGCAATAGAAAGATTCATGGTAACTCTACTCACTCCTAATATCATTTAAGCTAACCCAATAGGTTAACTAATCAAGGCAACTCTATTTGAATGCAAGAAGGATGAAGAAAAAGAAGATAAAGGAGCTAAAGTAAAAGGTTCGAAGAGTGAAAATAGGAACAGTTGGGTAGGGCCTAACAATGGTTTGTGATTAGCTGGAAGGAAGGGTAAACCGTGATGGTGCTTAATTTCTATTTGAACCTAGCAGTCCACATCAACTCCCTCTTTTAATTCTCACCCCTATATATAGCCAACCCTCACATAACTTCTCTAAGTCATCCTCCTAATAACTTTCCTTTTTCCCAATACACAAAACCACACCATGAATGTCCTTCTCTCCCTTTTCCTTCACATTCTTTCATTCTCTCTTACCGTTTCCGGTCGGCCGGCAACTTTCTTGCAAGATTTTCGTGTCACATGGGCTGAGTCCCATACTCGGCAAATCGATGGCGGCAGGGCCATCCAACTCATTCTAGACCAAAATTCAGGTTAACACTTTTCGACCGTGGGGTCACTTTGTGTATATTTCTCAAGCAAAGTTTATTCGTGATATGAGATTAATGAAAATCAGATTAAAATGATTAATTAATCACGTTCCATTTCCAGGATGTGGGTTTGCTTCCAAAAGCAAGTACCTGTTTGGTCGTGTCAGCATGAAGATTAAGCTCATCCCCGGCGACTCTGCCGGAACTGTAACTGCTTTCTATGTATGATACACTTTTGTCACTTCAATTGAAAGTTATCTCCTGTTGATTATATATTTATGTATACTACTGACTTTCCTTTGCTTCTTGCAGTTGAATTCAGACACAAATACAGTAAGAGACGAGCTGGATTTCGAATTCCTGGGAAATCGAAGTGGGCAGCCTTATACTGTCCAAACAAATATCTATGCTCATGGGAAAGGTGACAGAGAACAGAGGGTTAACCTGTGGTTTGATCCTGCTGCCGCTTTTCACACTTATTCCATTCTTTGGAACCACCACCATATTGTGTAAGAGGACAATTAATTATCTATGAAATCGGGAGTTAATTTGACACTAAGATTCGGACCAATTTTATATTACTTCTGTTTGTTGGGTTGCAGGTTTTATGTTGATGAAGTGCCTATTAGAGTTTACAAGAACAATGAGGCTAAGAACATTCCATTCCCAAAGTTCCAACCCATGGGGGTGTTTTCCACACTATGGGAAGCCGACAATTGGGCCACCAGAGGTGGGTTGGAGAAGATTGATTGGAGCAAGGCGCCTTTCTATGCTTACTACAAGGACTTCGACATTGAAGGGTGTCCGGTGCCTGGACCAACAAACTGCGCTGCAAACCCAGGAAACTGGTGGGAAGGCAGTGGTTATCAAGCCCTCAACGCCCTTGAAGCCAGGAGATACAGGTGGGTCCGTATAAACCACATGATCTACGACTACTGCACCGATAAATCGCGATACCCAGTTCCCCCACCCGAGTGCTTTGCTGGGATCTAACATCAATAGAATGCTAATGCTACTGGAGTTTGTTGGGTATAGAAACATCCATGTCGACTAATGTCATATCATTTACGTACATGTATGTCCTTGTACACTACCTGTGTCATAAAAAAAGACAAGGCTTCAGAGTCATGCAAACTTGGGGGGTATAAAGTGAAATTAAGGAAATTGTGATAAGAAGAATATGAAACTTTTGATTCCTTCACGGAGCAAGAGTAATGATGAAAAGCTTTTATGTTGTCTGTATTTGGTGCAAATTCTTCTGTGCCAAAGAAATATGATACTTTTTCATTTTGTCAAGGGTGAAGCATATATCTTCATAATGTGTTGAACCTAAAACTGGAATTGGTTTTCTCTATGGTTTGTTTTGGTGGAAGAAGTGGCAAAACGCTGGCATTGAAAGCGTTTCCAAGATTTTTTCTTAGAAATGTTTTGAGGAGTATGGTCCACATGGATTGAATTTAATTGAGTTTTGATTTGTATGGTTGCCTTTAAGTTGCTTTCTTATAGTACTTTTTTACATAATACTTCATAAAAATATTAAGTTATTATGATTGAATTAATTTTAATTAATATTTTATATAATTTTATAATCATATTAATGTGTAAAACCCTTTTCAAAGTAATTACCAAATAGTAATATAATTTTTCTTATAATAGAATATTGAAAAACTTACAATCATAATGCTTTACAACAATCCCAAACACAATAATAATGTTACGGTTAGCAAGTATTTGATGAGGAAAGAAAATGAGTGCTCCTTCATTTGGCTTTGGCATCACAAGCATGGTCCCCCAAGTCATCCGTTGGTGATGGCTCCACAACACTTTGTCAAAGAAGCTCAGAGCCAGCGGTTTTATGTTATGCATGCAAAAGAAGCCAGGATCTACTCTCTGCATATTGCTGGGTTTGATTGCTTACGCCAGTAGCCTGAACTTTAATCATGCACTCAATGAAGAAAAGAAAAGTTTCTCATCCATCATAGATGGTAACCTAACAATATTTAGAATTAGGAGAGAAGGATAAAGTTCCATTTCAAGTTTCTGATAGCCTTTAAAAGCAATGGTCCCCAATTGATAATTAGTCTGAGCCCTCTCCTGCCAGCAGCTAAAACAATAGAACAGGGACCATCTTGTGAATATACGAAATGGGAGGCCACAATGGAAAGTCAAAAAATACATTGAACAACAGGTCAACAGGACGAATGATAAGGTTGCAGACAAAATAATGACTGGAAAGCCACAAGACATTGTTGGTCACAGGTCTTAGTAAATGAAGCAGTAGATTAGAACAAGTGGTCACAAGCCCACATTGGATGTCATATTAGTCTACTTTTAATGCTCTCAACATCAAGTAGATGTTTCATTCTCAAAGAGTGGAAATTTCTGCAGCTGTGTCGGTGAGTTTAAATCCCTGAGGAGTTACAGTCCAGGAACTCATATTTTTGAGACTTATGGTTCAGGAATTAACAAACAGCCTCTTGAGGTAAAGGTTATACTTACAGGTGAACAATTTGAGATCTTTGATGAGGATGTAATTAAGACCTCCACTTTGTGTTGTTGAGTTTAACTGCAGCCGGCTCTAAACAGTAGGGACAATTGCCAAATGGGATATTGAACCTGCAAAACAATCATTTATAACCATAAATAAACCAAACAGATAAAGAAACAATGGAGACAGTCCAAGATAACAAGGGTAGGTAACTGTCAACTAAAACAATTCACTGCTGCTTGCATTTTCCACTAATTTTTCCTAAAAGTTATTTAAAGTCAAGATAAAAATCAAGAGCACAATAATGATTTGATACAAGTACTGGGGTAAGACCTAAATGCTTGCCCACATTTTAAAGAAAGGGAAAGAACAACAAAAGAACGGCCAGTCTTGGTTGTGCCGCTCAACCACTGGACCATAGTTGAAAAGCCCACAGAAAAATTGGGGTTTTACTAGAGATGGTGGCCACCACCATTCAGGAGAAAATCTGTAGCATCTTAATAACAATGATAAACCCTATACTGTGTCATTAATTTGTTGGACAGTCTTTTGGATGATCAACTCGTTTTCCATTTAGTGCTAGGTGTACACACCGAGCACATGTAAAATCCTAAAGGCATCCACATAACTCCCATCTGTATTTCCCTTTCAACTTCCACAATGCTCCATTAATCTCCTGATCAGAAGTAGCCATGTGCTACCAGTTCAAATTAAAGAGTGAGTTGTATCATGGGTCCTATCGAGTGGCACATGGTGGCAAATAGATCAGACAAATGGGAGGGCACTATCAAGTACAAAAAACCAGGACACAGTAACCCAACTCAATCTCAAGATTGATCACTTGAGTGGATGAATGAAGCCAAAGACAGAAAAGCAGGAAATGCCATAAGAAAATCCCATTTGATAACTCATTAGAACATATGACAAAGCAGCAGTAATCCTGCAGAAAAAGCAGAAACAAAAAGATTCAAAGGTGCTTAAAACTCAGCAAACTGCCTTGTTGTCATAATAGAATGCAACCAGCCCACAAGGCACATGCTATGTAATGCCCTGCCCTACTGCAATTTGTATTCTTACACATGTACTCAGTACCACTTCCCCTTTTAGCTCTATGTTCATCATCTACATCAACAATTTAAGTTACAGATTGATCAATGAAAATATAAGTGCTGAAAAATCTAAAAACATGCATAATTACCTATTGGAAGACACTGACCATAGCAGATTCCACTTTCAACCTGCTGATATGTTCCTGGAAAATCAGGAAACCTTGGCAGTTGGGTCTCCAATAGAGATAAAAGATTTTCTGGAAATGGTTTATCCTGCATCCTATATAATTGACAACATCATGCGGAATATAAATATAGATAGCCAATGAACTATATAATTGACAACATCATGCGGAATATAAATATAGATAGCCAATTTAACTACAATTTCATCAAACAAGACCTGGATGGAAAAATAAAGGGAGAATGGGCACTAAATCAAAATCTTGGGCACGAAAAGAAGAAGGTCGACTGCTACAGCCCAAATCAAGAGCAAAAAAGAAGTGTTAGGTTGTCTCAAAATAAAATAACCTCAAAAGCCAACTGCTTTGATCCAAAAATCTATCCTCTTTCTAACTAGATTATCTTGCACTGTTACCCTCTTAATCAGAAATTCATTACAAAGAAATAGAATTTAAAAAATTGCATATAAAAAGTAAAAGTATCTGTGGGTTATTTCTCTCTGCCAACATATCCATATTGAAAGCATGAATAATCCAGAATGCTTGTATAGATCTAATAAAGGATTCAAGATGTGCCATCTCTTGGTATTTCTTTGCCATGTCTTTCTCAATGTGTTCAGAATTGCAACTGAACCCATAAAACGACACCTATCACAATTTAAGAATTCGGTAGTGAATAAAAGGAAAAAATTTAGCATTCAGCGTCACAGCAATAATTTCAGATGAAATATTACTCTGGTAAAGATTTGGGATCAGTGACGTTTTTGACAACATGATTAGACAATCATTTCCTGTAGAGCATTCAAATAATCACAAAAGGTTGTAATTTTCTTGTTTGATCAACGAGCAAAAATGATTAATTCAAGAAAGAGCAAAAATGATTAATTCAAGAAAGTACAATGGCTACTCTAACCCAAATTACACAGATCCTCACACTGCAAAATACATTTCAAATCTCCCTCTCCCAGTCCAACACAGCTATGTAAAAACCCCTGTTTGAAATTGCAACAAATTCCAGTCCAGCTTCTAAAACAACTCAAAAACAGATCAGAATTTCAATGCCGTTGAATTCATTTTTGCTTTTCAACAAACACATGGTAGGCTTGTTTCAATTCGCGCCCATTTTAGTGGTTTGAATGGTCAAAAAAGTCACAAAACAAAACCCTAGACGATCAAGGCAGATTATATACTACGCCAGACAACTAAACCAGGAAGCAAGAGGTAGAGGCATGAGTGAGTGAAAGAAAAATACCATTTGATTCGTGCCGGAGAGAAGGAAACGAAGAAGGAATGCGCTTCGTTCCGTTCTCGTTTCCTTGCAGTGAGTTCAGCACCTGTGACGTCGGTAGCAGGCATCTGCCGGCTCACCGTTGACGGAAATCTTTTCCGATCTCTTCCCATTTTCACTTCACGAGCACTCCTTCACTGGTTCGCTTTGATGTTAGAAGGTTTAATACCCAATTTGGTCCTTAAACTTTCATTTGAAAACTTTGTTCGTCCTTTAACAAATGAAAGCACCCAAGTTATCCTTTAACTTTATTTATTTGGAACCCAAATGGTCTTTCCGTCACGGAAATGCCCAACTCACACATTAACTTGCCACGAATTAACCCTTTTATTTCAGAAAAATTACGTGGAAAAAAAAAAGTGATGCTTTGGTAATCTTAATATTGACCTTTCCCTTATCTTCAACCCCCATCCCTCTCTCCCATTGTTGTTCCTTTTCCTATTCTCCAGCACCGACATCAGCCATTCCTTCTCTTTGCAATTTCTTCTCCGAACCACAGATTCCTTCTTCGACCCTTAAATCCTTTACAATATCTTCTCCAAACCCCAGAGCCTCTTGGGATTAAATCTGCAACATTGCAATGGAGTTAGCAGCAGTGCAATTGATTTGCTCATGGAGTAATTATGGAGGTGTGATATCCTTTTCTGAGCAGTTTCTAAACAGGAAGGGTAAACCCTCCAAATAACAACACATGAGGTATGAGTCTTACGATGCCTCAGACTAGTTTTGTGAGTGATGGCATTATGTTTAGTTTTTGGGTCCATCTGCTATGGGTCTTATGTCATCCAGTGCTCAATCCCCTTTTCTAGGGAATATGGCCATTCTATCCTTTTTGTTTTCTTTTTTTTTTTTTTTTTTTGCAGATTTCGGTTTAACAGAAATTTGTTAATACATTTTGCCCAACAAATGGGCGTTGGTTTCTTCTTGGCCAAAATCCTTGAGAACACAGTTACTGGGTCCTGAATTTTAGGCCATGTTTCTTTGATTTTAGCTTTTTTATGTTGCTAGGTGCTAGCACTCGGTGTTTTAGCTTGGTCTTGCCAACTCATCTTTGGGCTAAGCTTTTCTTCCCTCCCAGTCATCTCACTGCGAAGTTGGTAGTGTTTCCACTGGTTTTTCACATGATAGTTCAATCCTCTATTTCGCTTAAAAGGTAGGTTGAAGTCTTCACTTCCACCATGCTTTTCACAGTCAAGAGTTTTGGTGCCTTGTTTTTTATGGACTTTGGCCATGGCAGCAATTTAGTGTCTGTCATCACAACTCCTAAATGAGTTGTTTTTTTCACCAAGTCCTAGTTTTTGCAGGTTTCATCTCTCTTCTGATCTGTGCTCTGTATCATTTCTACCATGTAATGACATCAATACCTACCCCTTTGAAGCATTGTATGTTTTTGTTATGAAGATGAATAAAATCTCAAACTTTTTATGTGGAGAGTAGAGAGAAAAATGAGAAAGGGAAAGAATGATGCCGTTGGTATTGGTGTTGATGTCGATGCTGGAGAACAGGAAAAGGAACAAAAATGGCAGAGAGGGATAGGGGTTGAAGATAAGGGAAAGGTCAATATTAAGATTACCAAAGCATCATTTTTTTTCCACATAAGTTTTTCTGAAATAAAAGGATTAATTCGTGGCAAGTTAACGTGCCAACTGGGCACTTCCGTGACGGAAGGACCATTTGGGTTCCAAATAAATAAAGTTAAAGGACAACTTGGGTGCTTTCATTTGTTAAAGGACGAACAAAGTTCTCAAATGAAAGTTTAAGGACCAAATTGGGTATTAAACCAAGTTAGAATCTCCGCCGTTTGGGCGAAGAATTTGTAAATTATACTTTTAGTCCTCAACTTTAATAGTTTGTTACGAATC